TTATTGTGAGTTCTTTTTTCCAGTTAACTGTTCTCCTCTTCTAGTAAAAGTCTTTCTCGTCGATCAATAATTAATAAATCACAAAGTTAAATATTGTAATCTATGGTAAATTTGCTAGCCTCTGATGATGCGAAAACTGAGGCTCTCTCCCTCACATCACATGATGTGCTTAAGTTATGATATTTTTTGTGGATTATTGTTAGCATTGTCAAAGTAAAACAAACCCTTATTTTTGTACCTTTCATAAGTGTCCACAATATGTACTTTCAGCTTCTCACTTATTTTTTGTGTTTACCTTGGGACCAGCACAAAGAGTACACTAGCTTGTGACCTCCCTAAAGCTGGGTTTGTGTCTCTTGGTTGCAAACCGGGGATCTTTTAACCAATTAACCAATAAACCACAAATCAACTTCCTAAGTGTATCCACTGTGAAAGTCAAATAGCTTACTGTAAAACAAGAAGCACTCAAAGACCACAGAGCTCTGCAAAGGCAGGTTGCTCTCTGGGCAGAATTTACTTTAAAGTATTTTGTATATATTCATTTTGTTTTCGTTGTTCTTTTTAAAAGTACTTTAATAATTTTATACTGTTATAAAAAAGAGACATGTTGGAGTCAACTTGAAAGAAAGTTGTCAAATGGGGCATGATATTTGGATGCAAACTATAATGGGATATTTAGAATCCCCATATACTAGTATCATTTACTAAATGTTGCCAATACAAACAAAGGCAATAGAACTTTAACAATAGTTTTAAAGATAAAAGACATTTTTAATACAAGTTTGACCTTGAAGAAGAGTTCAGAGGTAAAGGTAAAGTAATTATATATTTAGAATCCCCGCAAATGTGCCTGGCACAGTTTTAAGGAATACACTATTTTGCCAAAAACATTTACTCACCCATCCAAATCACTGAACTAAGGTGTTCCAGTCATTTGGTACAAGAACCCACATAGCAAGCAGGTCTGGCCCAGATCTGGTATCAAGTCGGCACTGCTGGCTGACTTCTGGGATGGTAAGTGGTATGTCATCCAGATATGGGCCAGACCTGGTGGATTGGTTTATGTGGCCCAGGCCCATAGAAAACAGGTCTTCCCTGGATCCAGCATCAAGCTGGCACTTCTGACTGACTGGTGTCATGGCAGGGTGTATGTCAACCAGATGTTTGCCAGGCCTGGCAATGATGGCAATATTTATATTCCTATTCTCCTATTTTAGTCAGAAGACCCAAATGCCGTGTTACAATACTATACTGCTATGGTAGCCAACGTTTCAAATGCAGGTTTGACAGGTTTGTGAGTGTACACTTTATCCAATACCTATTGACGGTTTACTCATCTCTGCCAGTGGGTGGCTGTAGCTCAGGAGGGAGAACAGGTCGCCTTCTGATTGAAAGGTTAGTGGTTCGATCCCTGGCTCCTCCAGTCTGCATGTCAAGAGTGTAAATGTAGTTAGGAAGCACTCAGTTTAGTGAAATTGGGCAAGTTGTATAGAGCAATTTAAGTAATCCTGAAGAGTAGAAAAGCACTATAAAAGAATCAGTCCATACACTGTCTGAACAGAGTTTTGTCATGTTACTTTTGCAGTGTTTTGCATGTTCCGGCATATGTTTTTTATTATATGGCTTGATTAAGGTACACATTAGGCTGACATCTGCGGCCAGAGCTGAAACTGTTCTGGGCCAGCACAGAGCCAGCGGTGTGTCTACTGCTGGCCCATGTGTGGGCCACATCTGGCAAACCTGATCTGGGCCACCAAAGGGCTGTCATTCTTTGCAGTATGTGGGCCATGTGTAAGCACATTGTGTGGGCCAGATCCGGGCCATACCAATTTTGCTATGTGGGAAGCACCTAAGCACGCAGACTGCTGCTACAAACATTTGTGAAAGAATGGGTTTCTCTAAGGAGCTCAGTGAGTTCCAGCATGGTACTGTGATAGGATGCTACCTGTGCAAGTCCAGTTGTAAAATTTCCTCCCTAATAAATATTCCACATTCAGCTGGTAGTAATGTTATAACAAAGTGCAAGGGATTTGGAATGACAGCAACTCAACCATGACGCAGTAGACCATGTAAAATAACAGAGTGGGGATTGGTGGGTGCTGAGGCACATAGGGGAAAGATTCTGCATGGGTTTCCATGACTGAGCAGTTACATCCAAGCCTTTCATCACCAAACACAATGCAAAGTGCCAGATGCAGTGCTGTAAAGAAGATCGCCCGTGTACTCTGTCTGGCAATCTGATGGACGAGTCTGGGTTTGGTTGTTGCCAGGAGAAATGTACTTGTCTGACTCCATAGTACCAAGTGTAAAGTTTGGTGGAGGGGTGATTATGGTGTGAGGTTTTTGTTCAGGCTCGGTTCTTCAGTTCCAGCCAAAGAAAGTTGGCCAATTTCATGCTCCCAACTTTGTGGGAACAGTTTGGGGATGGTCCCTTGCAATTCCAACTTGGTTGCGGACCAGTGCACAGAACAAGGTCTATGAATGAGCAAGTTTGTTGTGGAAGAGCTTGACTGACCTGCACAGAGTCCTGAACTCAATAGATCACCTTCAGGAATTAGAGTAGGGACTGCGAGCCAGGCCTCTTTGTCCAGCATCAGTGTCTGACCAGTGACTGACCAATTATGCTTCTAAAAGAATGGTAATAAATTCCCATAAACATGCCTAAAACTTGTGGAAAGCCCTCCCAGAAGAGTTGAAGCTGTTATAGCTACAAAGCATTGGCCGACATCATATCAAACCTTATGGATTAAGAATGTTACTCAAGATGTTACTCAAGTTCTATGGCTGTGAAAGATGGCTGAATACTTTATAATCTAGCATTATTATCACTTTCACCTTGAAGGAGAGGTCAGAGGTCAAATTTGACATCTTTATATGGTACTTTCTATATGTTAACAATACACACCACACTTATAAGAATCATAGTTTCTAAGTTCTAAGGCTTTTTGTCAATTTTGATCAATAAATCATTAAGTTTATCTTGAAGACCTTGGTGGATTTAAGCCAAACTTGAATGGATTTTTAACATGACCTCACTCTATACCTCTTTTCAAGCTACTTAGATTACTGTGACCTGGATGACTGAGAACCTGCACAGACATATTTACAGACAGAAAGACATACATGCATTCACTTTTGTTTTTTGCTTTTTTGTTTTTTTCACTCATCAGTTTAAATTATAAAGGTTTTACAGTCATGTGTCATGAGGGAAATGGCAACTCCAGCTGTCAGGTGGCTGCTGATACTGCTAGCTGTAGCTACACAGTTAAAATTAGTCATAATTTATTAGAATTAGCGGGGATTTCCCTCCATCAACGCCACAGGACTATTCTTCATCGTCTTGATGTTTTCACTTTAAAATACAAAACAGTCCAAAATGTTGGGGCACCTAATTTCCATCAGTGAAGTAGTATGAGCACACTGCGTCTTTTGTTTGCAGTGAAGCTCGTGTTGCACCTTCCTTTGCCAACACAGATTCACATTGCCACATGTAACCGCTATAACTATTCTCAGAATTTAACACCTTGTATTTCAGTTTAGAGTGTTTATATGTTTTTAATCTTTCAGGCGGGTTGGTGGTTTTGATTTGTACATGCACATATATATATATATATATGGAGACACAACTGCCTTCAGACTGTTAGTGTTTCATTCACACATCAAGCAATACTTTAGCTTCCTGCTATATCTTCCATCAGTACCATCTCAGGCCTTCTGCATTTACCTCAGCTACATAAGAGTATGAACTTGAAAAACCTCAGAGACGGGAACGTAATAAAACCTCACACTCTATCACTTCATCTAACCTTTCTCAAAACGGCGCTGCACCCACTGCCAGCAGCAGTGAAAGTGACTCCTATGTTAACTGCAGTCAATTCAAATCATATCACAACTCCTTCTGTGGTATGCATGTAAGTCTTGCTTTTGAATATATTCAGACTCTACAAGAAGAAGTAATCAGTTCTAGTCAACCTACATGGTCCTTTTTTTCAATCCTGCTCCCAAATGAGGTGCATACTCTTCGACACAAGACAGAATAAGACAAGTTAGGATATACTGTATCTTCTCCTTATGCCCAGACCACTTCATATCTTTCTCTTTCTAAATTGTAAGACGATTTGTATTTATGTACTGTAGTACCCTTTCTACTCTATTTGAGCACTTGTAATGCTTTCTACTACAAATCCCATTCTCCCAATCACACACATTCATATCGTTTTTTGTTTAACACTCACACACACACAAACTCACAGGGGCAAACCCTCACTCGCTGCTGACGGATGCCTCAGGGCCAAGTCAGGGTTCAGCATCTTGCCCAAGGGTACTTCGACATGCTGACTAGTGAATTGGTAGACAACCTCTTTGTTTCCAAATCTCATAATCTTTTAGTTACTCCACTGTGCAACTAACAAAAACTCAAATTAATTTAAATTAATTTGATTTCCCCCTTAGTTTGCATCACAAACCCTCCCCTCAAACAAGATTTCTGCCACCACAAACAGTGCAAACCTGTGATGGTTTATATATATTTTGTCTGCATAAAGGAAAAAAACAAAAACAAAATTGAAGTCACACATCACAGTCCAAGTGGCTTCTTGTTGTCACACTTTAAGTATTAATACCCAATAACGATAAACTTTTAGAAATAACATATATGAATGTTACTGTTATGTTCTCAGCATGTATGTAAATTTATGCCACATATATGTATGCATTTAAATACATAATGACTACCTGCCTCACAGCTTGTGATTTAAAGTAGCATTGTCATCCCAATTAAAAAGTCAAAATACTAAAAAAACTGAAATGGCAAATAGGATGACAATTGATACAAGTACAATATATCTTAAATGAGGGTATTTTAATGCATTGCATGTCCTGGGGGACAGGATGTTAACATGCAACTACTGTTCATGTTCATGTGTGACATTTACCCAAATGTAATGTGTGATGTCAGAAAGGAGAGGTGGGATTTGAACACTTCACATAAACTTTGCAAAGATATTTCAAGCCTTGCTGCTTCTTTTACAACCATAACTAGCAGACTCTGCAGCATTTACAGTTAAAAAAATACTTGGTTACTCTGTTTCTAACTGTAAGTATTCCTTACTATAGTTTTCTTCGTCTATATAGCAGCACAGTGGTCTGTTGCTCCTGTATTTACATGCATTTTTCTGCCTGTGTTGATTTATTATGACATTCTTTCTTATTTTCATAGAGTGACAGGCAAGATGGCTGGTGGAAACATGACCCTGGACTCTGTTGCAGTTCCATCAAACCAGAGCAGCTGTGATGTGTTTGTATACCAAAGAGCCGCAGTGGTCCTTTTCCCCATTTTCTACTCTGTGGTATTCATCATCAGCACATGCGGCAACAGTTTGGTTCTCCGTGTCATCTGCCAGAGAAAACAGAAGTTCAACTCCACCTCCATTTATCTGGTCAACCTTGCTTTATCTGATGCGCTGTTCACACTGGCACTTCCTGGGAGAATTACCTACTACATCCGTCACTTTGACTGGCCTTTTGGTGACCTTCTCTGCAAAGTGACCACACTTCTTTTCTTTACAAACACATATGCAGGTAATATGAGAAATTTTGTCATTGTACTTTTGGAGCTTGTCTTTGTGTATGTCTGTACAGGTGCTGCCAGATCTTTATACTAGTTTTAGTTCACTTTTTTCTATTTAGAAAGACACATGCAAAACACGTCAGTAATTACAGACATGACCAGTACATCATATCTGTCACATATGACATATATATCTACTAACACTCAAAAAGCATTGCATTTAAACTTTTGAAATACATGAAACATTTCCAAATGTTCAACAACAAAACAAAATGCTCAGATTGCAACTGGGATGGTGAACGCAATAAGCAGAAGCTGTGTGTCACTTCCATTACATTCTCACCAGGTATCGGCTTCATGACCTGCATCAGCTTGGACAGATACCTGGCCATGGTACATCCACACCGGCTGCAGTGTTTAAGGAGTGTAAAGGTTGTTCGAAGGGTGTGCTGCCTGGTCTGGGCTCTAGTTTTTCTGGAGGTAGCGCCTCTGCTGTTCCGCAGCATGCTGCATGAGCATCAGGGAAGACGAACCTGCATGGAGTACTTCAACTTCGAGGGCTCCCGCTTCACTCCGTATCTTCTGATTCTGGCCTGCGTTGTGTCCTTCTGCTGCCCGCTTACCATTATCATGTGCTGCTACGCCAAGATCAACATTAAACTGCGAGATGCAGCTAAAAAGAACTCTGTAACTGGTCGCTCAAGGAGGAATCACAGGGCCAACACTATTATTCTGCTCATCCTCCTCACCTTCATCGTATGTTTTAGCCCTTATCACGTCAATGTCATCCAGTTTATGGCCAGAAAAATACACCACCAGCCAACCTGTGAAGAACTGAGAGCCTTTAAAGTGTCTTTACAGGTGAGAACTGCTGTGTTTTCTTTTTTCAATTGATTTTAAAATGTCCCCGTCATTTCTCTTTCTTTTTTTCCTTTTCATAATTTACCCTTATCTTCTAGATTACCGTTTCGTTAATGAACTTCAATTGCTGCTTGGATCCAGTCATCTACTTTTTTGCCATTAAGACATACAAGAAGAGGGTGATGAGCCTGTTTAAAGACTATCTCTATACTTCCGGCGCCTCCTCCAAAATGACAGCTGAGAACAGCAGCAGCAACACCTGAGAAACCACAGCTGATTCTGCAAGATGCACATATAGAACATATGCCACAGACCTATTTTCCCATGCTAAACTAAAAAAGAAAGAAAAAGAAAAGGGCTTTATTATACGTAGTCTCTTCTGCTGATGTGTTTTTTTAAATCCCTTCCATCTAAAATATATATCAATTGTGTATGGACACATGCAGTGTATGTGTCTTAATTTAGCTGTAAAAAAATGAACTAAATCCTTGTTCTGCTGTTAGTGTTGCACCCAGTATTTGTTTGTACTGTATATATTGCCAAGTGGTTTTGTTGTTGTTGTTTTTGTTCATATGATGGCCTTTTCTTTTCTTCTTTATGTGTTTTCTTTATTATTATTTTTTTTAGTTTAGTTTTTTAATTAGTTTGATTTTGTTTTTTGGTTACAATGTGTATTCAGTCTAGTATCAACAGCGTCATACAGTAATCGTAAAAGGAAGTTACTCTAATCCATGTTTTCGTGGTAAAAGGGATTTTGTATAGTTATGTATTTGTACATTGTTAAGAAAATGTCCCAACCTATGTGTTTGTTTCCAAACTCTTTCTGAAAATACTGTGGTCATTAACGCAACACGGAAGCAGCTTGTACTTCCTTTTTTTGTTAGAGAAGCACATACCCAGCCAAGTCTTGGGTGAAATTTTTCACTGTAAGAGGAACCATTTGAGCAAATTTGTAAAGCATACGCTCCTGCTATCAAAGATGTTATTCATATGATCCCAGCAGTATTACGTATTTCACAAAATGGAAGAACTGCGGGTAGGACAAAATGAGAACATGTCACACTTCTCTCTTTCATACCCACATCTGAGTTTTGTGTGGGAGTACGCAGATGAAAATCACCACTTCCTCACCCACCTTTCCTGCTCCCCTATCATAGGCCTCATTCCTGCTGGGCTCCACATCTTGTGGTGAGGGTACACTGTGTATTTTATGTGTGTATGTGTGTGTGTTTGTGTGTGCGCTCCTTGCAAATTTACGCAGGTGCACATTGTCTGTTTATAGCACAAAGTGTCATATTTAAATTTAACCTTTCGCATTTCCTGAGTTTTTCTGGAGATGTTGCCCTTTAGTTTTACATCGAAAACAATGTGCATAAACTATTCTATAAAGAAACATTAAACTGCTTTGAATGATTACTAATTTTTTTTTTGTTGTTTTTTTTTATTGCTGGGGAATTTATTCACTTGTCAAGACATGGGCTACACAAACAAGGAAACAATTTTTTCCCCTTCTAGTCTTCTGAGGTTCTGAGGAAAACACAGTGAAAAAAAATGAAAGATGATTAAAACAGTAGAAAGCAACATCATTGTCAGATCAGAATAGTAAAGGTTAATGAGTTCTACTAAGTAAATCCGAATTACCTTGAATGATTTTACATATTTTATTAAGGTAAATTAAGAAACATTTTATGTGTTCATATATGGGACACTAGCATTTGACGTATATGATGAAAATATATAAATAAAGACAATAATACTAACAACATTAAGCAGCATTAATGGAAATGGCTTCATTTGTTTGAGATCTGCTCAGTAATTCACTGTATATTGTATGAACCTGATTAAGTCTAAGTGATGCTTAAATTAGGAGGAAAATGATCATTTAACAGATCAAACAAAGAGGTTGTTAGAAACAGCATTTTAGCTCATCAGACATGGTAACCACAAAGGCAAACGAAACACTTCCTAGTGTGAGAAAATTAAGCAATAAATAAATTGTTTATCACATCTGGCATGTAGATCTTTAGATAGAGTACCAAACTCTGGTGCAACACAAGAAGTTCCCCCAGAAACATTCTCGTGTGTGTGTGTGTGTGTGTGTGTGTGTGTGTGTGTGTGTGTGTGTGTGAGGGAGACGTACCACCTCGCTCAGGACTACTTTGATCGCTTCTTGAATACTATATTTAAATACGTGCTGATTGAACTGTTCAAAACACAGAAGGTCCTTTGCCTTTGGTTCATAGAACTAGCCTGTCTTTCTTGGC